CTCATCCTTCGGGCAGGGCAGTAAATCGTTTACCTTTCAGTACATAATAAATTCATAATAAATGCTTCGAACAGGATGTGTGCTAAATTCAATTTCGTATGTTTTTCATGTAAAATAACAGGATTCAGAACGCTGGTCTATGAGGAGAGTCAGTTTCCAAGAAAAGAAAGTTACTTACACAGTAGCTTTTTATTCTAACAAAATCCACAGTAATAGGCACAGATTTGTCACCATTTCGATTTAGTACTTTTATATGGTCCAGCAAATCAGCAAAGAATTTGTAGCCTCCTTTAAGGACACAGAGCGCAACGATATGATGACTTCCCATGTCTTGCATGATATCTCTTGCCAAGCGTTCTGTCCTGGAATTAAAAAAAAAAATATCAAATCTTAAAAATATTTTGTATGTCGTATTTGTTTGTCCATAAAACAGTGCGCAAGTTCAAATCCTGATCTTGGTGTTGAATATTTTAACCAGCAACTTGTGAAGCGCAGGACAGCTAGGTACCTATTGGCAGCTGGTATCACAGCATGGCACTTACCCACTTGGCAGATGCCTGGTTTAAGTGATAGATCTAAATAGGAGGCAGGAGAGGAAGGCTTTAACTATTTGAGCTGACTCGGAAACCTGATGGGAGCTGTAGAAAATGCCTTCTCTTAGCCCTTGTCTCCAGGGCTAAACTCAAGTTTTAGAGCTGCAAAGTTATTTGTTTCTCAAAGCTTCCGCAAGGGTAGCTGCTTCCCATAAAGCTTGGTCAATGGGTCAGTCAATGTATCCCTCTTTTTCTTTGAAGGGCAACTGGGGCCATTGGTATCACTGGCACTGCTCTTTGTTTAGCACCCCCTTACCTGTCCAAGATGAGTCCATGAGGAATGAAGACTCTTTCCAGATCTTCTTCGTAATGCTTAGGAATGCAAAACAGATTTTTATTATAGCCACTTTCTTCATCTTTAATCTGAAAGTGAAAGGGAAATGTTTAAAGGAGGATGTGTCTTGGGATTCTCCCCTGCTTCCAGAAGATGGTGGAGGCTTCACTCTATGTTCCCTTGTGAAATTTGTGAAATGGTAGAACAAAAACAGACTAGGAAAGTATAATCAGAAGCAAAACAGTATGAACACAATATAAACAGAAGAAGCAATCGCAAATGAGAGTGTTGACAGGTAGGTATTGGAAATTAATTAGGAAACACCTGAAATTCTTTACTGAAGTCTCTTCACATCTGATATTATAGTAGTATTGTTAAAGAAGTATGGGACTAATTGAAAGAAGAAAAACTTCAAAGCTGGGTTGTACCTTCTCTAGTGCAGAATATGTTAGCTCCAAAACAGTTATCCCAAACTTAGTTCAATATTATTCAAAATATAAGAGAGCTTGTGAATTAGGAGGAGTCTGTTCAGTGGGCTGCACTGGGCAGGTTTCTTTGGTGGAGGGACACTTGGAGAAGCAACATGAATACAGTTAACTTCAAGACAAGCAAGTTCAGAGTGGCCTATGTTTCTAATATCGTAGAGTCTGCTTAGCACCAGGAGAGCACTGCAGCAGAAGACGGAGTTTTAGTGGCCTGTGTTCAGCATTCTTCCCATGATACATGGCAAACACAACGCCCTCCTGCCAACGGAGAAGCCTCTTGATTTACTAAGCAAGCCCCAGCAGCACCAAGCTTTTTGTGGCTTGGTAAAGGATGGTGTGGAGCTCTGGGTTAGGCAGTAATAGCATGAAGTGTTGTGAGCAAAAAATAATTAACACTTGCAAATCCTTTATATAGATGAATTAATTCTAATTCTGCTTTTTTGGCATAGGAGAGACGGCTGTTAACAATGATTAAAATAAAATGAGAACCAAAAAACAAAACAATCCAAGATGACTGTTGTAAAAGGCAGTGCAGACAGAATCTCATCTTGTCTGAACTGTCTGTATTCTGCAGGTACAGAAAACTGACAGGCCTTAATGTTCCAAGGAAGAGTTACAGAGTGTTCTTGCAGCTGAGCACTGTTCCATGTATCAAGAGTACTGTTTTCTTGTTTTATTTACTATTTTCTTCATGGCTGAAGTAAAAAAAAAGTGAGTGAAAGCTCAGGTGAAAGATTGTTTTCAAAATAAGTTTTTGTTCTGTTTTAATCTTGCAAGAGCTTTGGCACTTCTTACATTAATGTCATTTGAAGATTAGGCTAGCATTTATTTGCAAATTTCAGTGCAGTGCAGATCTGCTTATTGGATTTCTTGGGTGTTCTATTAACCTACCTGACTAGCTTGAAACAGCCTGTGTAGGGTTGCTGGTGCTAACAGAAAACATACAGGTTACAGGATTCAGCGGACAAGAAACAGTGACAATAAGACTTAGACCCTCTTTAGAGGGGTTAAAAGTAAAAGACAGTGTTTATTTAACTTAAAAATGTAAGCATCATTTCTCATGCAGTAAAAGCCTTTAAGAACAGTCAGTTTACATGGTAAGTAGTAGCTAACCAAGTGCTGTGTATTTCTTACTCTCTCTTTTTGTTCATGCAGCAGAGAGCCAAGGTGCACACAGAATAGAGCTGGTTTCTTCCTGTCCATGACAGAACTGATGCAGGCGGGTGGTTTTCTTGCAAGACTTCTGTCTCTATGGCATTCACCATAACTGCTATTGATTACAGCTGGTCTAACAATACAGTTTAGCCCTCTATGTTTGGTTAGCTATGCTCATTCAGAATATTTGGTATTAGAATTATTGGTATTATTCAGAATAATTGGTACATTAGTATCTTGTTTGTTGCTATGTATAAAGAATTGAAAGATTTGCAGAAAGGCTCATAAACAGAACCTTAAGGATTGCAGCAGTTTGAGCACCACGTCACCATAGCAACATTCTGCCTGTACCTTACAGGCTCATGGAAGTGCTTGCATCATGGTGCGTGCTAAATAATACAGTAGCATCCTTTTATAATAAAATAATTCACTACTAAACTATCACAGAGTCATTAAGTTTTTAAAACATGAGCTTACTACTTGAGAAATCGTTTTTTTTTTTTTTTAATTTGAATTCGTGCTCATCTGTTGTTCATTTACTGAAGTTGGCTTTTTAGTTTAACTGCCTTATTGGGGATTTCCCTGCCTTTAAAACCACAGCAGTTATGTAGAATAAAGAGATACATGAATAAGTGTTTTTTCATTGGAACAGAATGAAAGAATGTGGAAGTCTGATATATTATTATCTGTATGAACTAAGTCTTCCAAGACATCTTTCCTTTGAAAGCCAGTTTTCCTCCTGAGCAAATAATAAGAAACAAGGCTTTTCTTTACTCAGTTGTTTTGTTTTACTGTCTTCTCTGAAGGCATCTTCCCTCCCCCCCAAAGCTCCCTTCAACAAAATAACCAGCCAAACATGATTGTAATGATGTTTTCCTACCTTCAGTCCACAAGCCATATTCTTCAAACTATGTTGTCTGGGAATGAGGGGCTGTTACTACTGCAGTCTCTCTGGCTCCATTTCCATCTTGCAGTCAGATCGTGACCTGCTTCTAATAGGTCAAATTTGCCACTCTTCCTGCAGGAAGCATTACTTCCTTATACATTGACATCACAATCCCAGGTTATTATTTAATCAGATTAACCAGAAATAAAGTAAGCATTACCCTCGCTGCAACCAATCAGAATAACGATTACAGAACTGCAGGAGGTGCAGAACCATGAATCAAATTAGGAGGGAGGACTAGATGAGGCAGTAGTTTCTTTATCAAAAATAGAAATTAGATATTTGCTTGTACAGATGGCAATTCAGTGGTATACATATAGAAACTCGTTTTGTATACTGGTTTCTTGCACAATTTTTCACATGTGTTGCTGCAATAAAGTCCACAGCTTTTCAAAATTCTCATGCTAACTTGTAGAAATCAATATTTGAATGAACAGAAGTCGTATTTTTAAAAAATACATGAAGCAGAGGTCTGCAACTGTTTGAGACATGGTAAATGCCACCTGACATTCCTCCAGGTCATCTTTTCGTATAAACAGAAATTGTTAGTTCCAGTAATATATATCATTTAGAGTCAAATGGCACTGACAATCAGTGTAATCTGATTATTTTAGTGTTCCAAACTGCAGTATTATCCAAGATTAACATTGAAGCCTTAGATTTCTAAAAATTAATCCTACTAACAAAACGAGTTAAAGTCAGGTTGCATAGGACATGTTACAGAATGTTCTTATCAGTTTAGGTACTTTTTTTTTTTTAATTCCCCAGTTTTCTGTTGTGGGGAGGACACATTAAGAAAAGAAGTCTTTTCCTCCGTTTCTTTGTAATCTCACCCTCTTCAGGCCGTTGTTGTCAATACTTGAGATAATCCTGGAAACACTTTTCAAAGTGGATTAATGAAGGTATCCACCGCCCTCATTGATCATGTTAAACAGTAGTGCTGTTTGGGAACTGTTGCTGCCCTGAGAATGTTTGGAGACTATTTTATGCAATTATCAATGACATCCTCCTCAGAATTTTCTCCTATTCCCATACTTACGTATGCGAGTTCACTGTCTCGTGGAAAGAAGCCTTGCCAAATAAACCCTAGTGTAAGGCATGCCTTTTTAGCAGGTAGCAATATGGGATCAAAAATCCGGGGAATTTCTCAGCAGAAGCACAGCTTGAAAAGGAGCGTGAGCAGGAACAAGCAAGCAAATGGTGATAGCTATTGCTTGAGCAGGGTATTGCTTCCCTCCTGATTCTTCAGTGGCAAAATGCAGGTGAAGAGCAGCATCCTTGAGGAGTTTGTGCAGGTAGATGTTTGCTTTTTAAGCCTTTGTGGAGAAAAGAGCCAAAAATGGTGATGCCTGGCTTGTTTGTGTGCATTTCCTTTTGCTCCCTTAGCCCTCTCCTGGGCTTCTCAGCAGTGTAATGTAGCTGCCACAAAATGATGTTGCTTTAGACAGCCCAGGAAGGCTGAGCACACACTGTGTAGTTTGGCTGCCCTTGCCTGATTCCTTTCTATGTCAGTGAAAGCAGGGTGTTTAATTGGCAGGTATGAGTGGGATAGGGTGAAGGTCTGAAAAAACAGTATATTCAGAAGCCCTGAGTGCAAGGGCTGACTTCGCTGGGAGCAGGGCCCAGCTTATGTTCCATACTGAAGGGATCTGAATCATTTACTGTGTGCTGCACTGCTGCCCTCAGTGTCACTGATTCCTCACTCACCAGAGCTACAGGGTTGTATGACTTGTTCTAGGATTTAAATCAATTTTGAAGTTATTTATTTACAGGGAAAAAAAAGATATTTATAGATTTCACATTTCTGTATTTACTCTATATACTTTATGTATTTTTCTACATTTAACCCTAAACTTTAAACTGGTACAAGAAGCATCTGCTCACGTGCGTGAAGCTGTGGAGCTCAGATCTTGTTTGTGTGGGTGAGTTTAGTGTTCTCAGTGAGCTCCATGGAGCCCTAACAGTATCCTCGTAGCACTGGTAGCTGCAAGGTACGTGGAAGCCCACACGAAACAGAAATGTGTTCTGTCCTTCACTGTGACGGGGCTGAGAACTGCACCACGAAAGCTGCTGCCACAGTGAATGTTTTCATCGTCACTCTCTGCGGAAGGATGCAGGGGTTTCACAGGTGAAAGGTGAAGAAGCAGTTTGTTCTACTCGATAGCAAAAACAGAGAGAAAGTAGCCAGTTGACTGGCTAAAACTTTACAAATAAAACAGAGAAATTGTCCACTAGAGGGAAGTCTCTACCGTAGAAGTCGATACTTGTAAGAAAAACATACTTTTCTGTGAAACAAACTTTCTAGACTAAGAAACTCCCCCTTCACTTAAGCATACAGATCTTGCTGAAATACAAGTACAGTCAGGAAGTTTAAAGCAGGTACCTTAAAAATTTGGGTCACTTTCTGAACTCGTGTAATGGGGGATTGCAGGAAAGCTGCTCACATTTGCACCTTTGAAGACCTGATCCACATGGACTCCATGTGCCAAGTGATTGATAAAGTCTTAATTTAAACCTGAATACTTGTGATTGATATGCTGTTAGGAAGCTTGATTTATGTGCTGCAAAAATGGCTTAAAATCAGTAATCTGGAGCCATCCTATCTGAGTTCTGTTTGACGTTAAGTCATAGTTATATCAGCTTCTTGTTTGCTTTGCTAAAAAGCAGTTTTTGGGGAAAAATTGCACATCCCATGGTCAACAGTGTATATTTCAATTAAGAAATAGAAATTATTTCACATTTTATCATACTTTTTGTAGTATATTCCTGAAAATTATATAGCAAATGGGAAATTTTATAAGTTTAAACTTTCGTACTTTTCTCAGCTATTTTCTGTTTGGTCTGAAGATGTGTATTTTATTTTCTTGTGACAGAAAGTGGTCAAAGTCTTTTCCAGTATTGGGTCTATCTAAGTGTTGTTCCCAATGGGTTCTGCTGCATTTCCAGTTCCTCTGAGCCTCTGCAGCACCTCAGAGCACCTCCTGAGAGCAGAACTTGAAGGAGACCCTCCAATACAAGGAGACTCATTTAGATTTGAGTGTTTCTGGGAAATACCTCTGACACCGATTCCAGAATAGACAAGAGGCCACTTACGCAAACTCACCTGTTGTGATTACTGACCTGGAAGAAGCGTGCAGTATTTTTGAACAAAGTTTTTCCAGACAAACCTAATGCTGAGGGTGGCTTTGAGGAGGAAACCTTTGTATACTTTTTACTGCATTTATTTTGTAAGATAAGAAACGTTTCAGTCTACTGGACTGTCTGTATTAGAAAGTGGTTTTGAGAGAGATCTTAGAGTAATAGAGCATGGAGACAGGGAATCAGGACTTCTGGATGTTATTCACAGCTCCGACACATGGTTTTTTTGCTGTGTGACCCCGACCAATTTATTTTGCTGATTACTCCTGTAGTACATCTGACCTTCCTCTGTGTCTGCGCCGCCTCCCCGCTTTTTTCTCCTGTAATCAGCTGGCCTTCGTTTTCTGAGATCCTCTCCCCTGTGCTGAGGGGGACATTGCTATTTTGGGGATAGTGCCCTTTAAGAAACACTGTTGCTGTCATTCTCTAATAGTCAAATAAAGTACTTGGAGCAAAAAAAAAGGATGCGGGTCTATTTACTTGAACGTTAAAATATGGTTGTTCTAGTTTAATCTTCCAGTGAGCAAACATGAGTTCTTCCAGATCTGCCATCGTAGCCACTGCGTCTGGTTAAATTTCTGCCTCTTCCCTTGTGCTCATCCTCTCCCTCAGCCCCCGGAAAAGGCCAGGCTGGATGTGCTGCTTCCCTAGGGAGCAATGGGTGGTCTGGGAAGCTCTTGGGCAGCTGGACTCATCACTGTAGAGATGTTTAATAAAAATATGTGTTGAACAATAGCTTTATCTGAGTATGTGATCACAGCTGTTTTGTTTTAGCAATGTAACAGCATTAATAATGAAATCCATATTTCTCGTTGGATATTTATTTTTCTGAATTATTTTTTACTGCATTCAAAGAATTTGGTGTGAATTTATCAGTTTAGGTACTACAGAACTGGAGTAAGTTAACAGAACTGCGTATATCTGGTTTTAAATTACTTATATTACCTCTATAGAATTGATCTATTTACTTGAGACCTTAAAACATTATTAAAAAAATATTTACCACAGAGAGGCAGTATTATAAAGTATTCAATGTTTTTTTCTCTCTGCATTTTTTTAATCATCGTATTAGATGTTAACTGTGTGTTGTTCTTCAATGTTATATTGAACTATTAAAAAAAGCAAAGTGCCATCATCCCATAACAGCATGCAAGAAAAAATGTGAACTATGCATTTTGGTAAAGTAAAATTTAAAAATAATGTTTTAAAACACCATGCAATTACTATGTTCAAGTAAATAGAGCTAATCCTTAAATCTCGATTTTATAAAACCAACTATTTAATGTTGCCGTTGTGTCTGTTGAAATGTTATTTAACAAAGATGACACTGAGCTTGTGTAGGAAGATTTTGCTGTTGCTCCTCCTGTTTATGTGTGGGCAGTTCTGGTTATTTGCTGCTTGCAATGAAAGGCACTGCTGGTCCGTGCAGGCTGGCACGTGGTCTGAAAGGGAAGTTCAGAGCTGGTCCCGCTGCAGGGACGCGTGTCCTGCGGCAGAGCAGGAGGCTGCCGGGGCCGTTCCGGTGCTTCCCGTTTTTCCCTCACGCCTCTCAGGGTACACACGGGTACACTGAGTACCTCAGTTCCTGCCTGGTGAACGGGCCGGGAAGGGTCTGTTTTTGGAAGCCCTTTGCACTGTTGCAACTGTGATTGCCCTGGGGGTCAGTCAGTCCTCATAAAGGTGTTACCTTTTTCGCCCTGCTGAAAGGGAATTGTTTGCTTTTCTTCCACTTCGAACACTGAGGTTTTAGATCTTTGCTCTCTTTGCAAGCTCCCTCCTACTGTAAGAATAAGATGAGCTTTCCTTGCCCTTTC